AAAAAAGATATTTAGGCGTGTATTGTTAAGATCTTACTGACATTGATATTATGCTTAATTTTCCTACAACCTTTGTCTGATTAGGTGATATTGTACACCTTTCTATTTTAAGAATTGGTATCAAGTTTGGAGCACACAGTCAGTCTGTCTCATAATTCTTTTCTAAAATGTGATTTATCCACACTTTCTTTTTTTTTTAAATAATATTAATATTTTAAGTGAAATATATTATTGCTATTTAGTTTTGTTTATAAATTAATTTATTATATCTTTTCTAGGTATTTTGAATGCTGTCTAATCCAGTATTTCAATATTTCCTCAAATTAATTTTATTCGCCTGCTTCCTCTCTCTGATTCTCAGCACCTAGATTATTCAGTTATTTTTTTCATTTTTTTCCTTGGTAGCGTTACCTTAAAAAAAAAAAAACCTTAAGGTTAAAATATAATTTCTTCATATTTGAGAAATTACAAAAGTGTTCAAGGTTTAGTAAATGAAAGCAAATTCAGGCTTTTCAAATATCAGCAAATATTTGTCAAGGTTAGAGAATTATGTGTTTGCAATATTATTTCAACATATTGCAATTAAATATTTTTCTCATAGTTCAGTTACTGTCATACATGCAGATATACTTCTTACTTAACAATAAATCTTTCGAGGTGGCGACAGAGAGTGATGTTGATGATTAGAATATAAAAATATATCAGGTATTTGTGAATTAAAACCAAATATAACAGAATAAATATTCACATGATTGTCATTCTTCTACTCTGCCAAAGGTTGATAACTAGAAAATAATTGTGAGAAAAAAAGAATTACCATATAATCATAAAAAAATTAACGAAAAAATTACATTAAAATATGACATGAATTTAACAACTTTTCCTTATAATGAAAATATTTCTTTAAATTCCTCATAATATCATTGAAATATAAATAGCATTATATGTATTTTTCGATATGAACTTTTCTATCTAGTTAGGCTATAAAATAAAATTGAAAATGATGTAAAGAGAGAGAGAGAGTTGCCAGATAATATATATAAATTAACATATTTAAAGATACACCATATATATGTTAGCATTTTTCAAAATAATTTATTATAATTTCAAAAATATTTATTCTACTGCAACAAATTTAATTATATATCGACTTTTTAATAATGAAAATTTTTATTTATACGTCTCTAGATTTTACAAAGGTAAAGCTGAGAGTCATTTTAAATTAAAATACATTGAAGGACATTCAATTATTGAGAGATGAAATTTACACTAGTGTAACTAGTAAAATAATGTTAGATAAATAATCCATAAAGAAGAACATAAAAATTTCTTTTCAAGCCTTTATTACTCAGGCGTGTTCAAGATAACATATTCAAAACAATGAGTATTCACAGCGATGAGAAGCACTCGAATGGGTTCTGGGAACATTCTCCGTTTGGAATGACGAATTTGGATCTTTTATTTCCTCTACCTTCGTGATATTTATGGGAGAGAAAAACGGTTCAGTCATTATATCAGCAATAGTTGGTGGTGGAATTATGATAGAAGAATTATTTTACTTGTTTCCCATGCACCATCATCATCTTTGAGCTCAAAATAAATTTCTTTGAGGGCCATTCGTTTCCTTTTTCTTTCTCCGCGATCAAGGAGATAGTTGATCTCAAATGGGAGGCTTTTGGGGGTACTTTTTCTATTCACGAATGTCAGGAAGCGATTTCAATCCATCTTTTCCCAAAGTGTTAGGCAGATTGGCTCGTTTTAACAACTCCCTGCATATTCCTTTGGCATGTTGCGAAACCCGATGTTTTTTAAGTGAAACTGCCCTTGCCAAATAACATGTGTCTCTTCCCCCCAGGGGATGGGAGCAGGACACCAATTGAATATCTTCTTTTTTTCAGAAATCTCCATTTCTATTTCGTCATTCAAGGCATTTAAATCAACGATCTTCCATTTTTCCTTTGAAGGATTGATACATCAGCATAGAATCTGAGTAAGCAATTTTATTTTTGATAGCGTTGACAGCAGCAGAGTCCAAGAAATATATTTATATCAAAGTGATTTGTCACCTTTGTTGATATCCATTGCTGTTATAAAATACTATCTATCTCCAGCATTTCTCGAAAAGACACAATATTTCTGTTGAACCTGATTGGCTAAAAACAGAAATGGAGATACATCCATATTTTATATATCATAAAAATAGGAAATAATAATTCACAACAATGGAAAAAGATTCGATAAGGAAGTTGAATTTTGAATTTTGTGAAAAGATATTTAGGCTTGTTTTGTTAAGGTTTTCCTAATATCGATATTATGTTTAAATATTTCTACTTCCTCTTTGTGGTTAGGTAATATCGCAAAATATCGTTTTTTTTATATAAATTTGTATCAGGTATTGAACACACGCATAGTTGTGTTGAAAAGAATTTTTTTTAAAGTGATCTAGCCACACCTACTTGTTTATAAAATACAAAAATAATGTTTTTTTTTGTGAATATGTTGTTGTCATTGAATTTAATGTGAAATACGTAGATTTAAATTATTACACCTCGTTCAGATATTGTGAATGCTGAATTACCGGGTATTTCTATATTTCCTTAAATTTTATTCACTCGCTTCTTCTCTCTCTCTCTCTGATTCTCAGCACCTAGATGTCTCAGTTTTTTTCACACACAGACACACAATTAAATTTTTTCGTTACCTTGAAAAATAAACCATAATTTTAATACGCACTGTCTTTTGTATTGTTTTGGGGGCTAAGAACATAATTTGAACAGCCTAATTCTTCCAACCTATAATTTCTTCAGGTTTTAAAAAAATCAAGTGTTCAATGTTCAACAATTAAAAGTAAATTAATCCAGGTTTTTATAATATCAACAAATATTTGTAATGGTTAGAGAAAAATGTTTTTACAATAATATTTTTATGTATTTTGAATAAATATTTTTTCTCTGAGTTTCATTACTGTCATACATGCAGACACACTCTCTTACTTAGCAATGAATCTTCTAAGGTGGAGACAGAGTGACATTAATTATTTGAAAATTAAAATTTTAAAATATTGGGGTGTTATTGATTTATAATCAAATGCTAAACAAAATAAATCTTCACATGATGGCCATTCATCTACTCTACCAAAAGTTGAAAACTCTAAAATATTTTTGATAAAAAGAATTACTATATTATCAATAAAAATTATTAGAAATATACTTTGTAAAAATAAAAATATGAAATGAACTTAACATGTCAATTTCTTTGTACAGTAGAGTGAAGAAAAAAATCTTAAAATTATTCATTATATCATTAAAAATATAAATAGTGTTTATAGTTTTTTCAATATTAATTTGTCGATCTAGTTTAGCTATGAAATAAAATTGAAAATGATATAAAGCTGCCAAATAATCTATGAAAATTAACATATTTAAAAATACACCATATATATGTTAGTATTTTTCAAAAATAACATGGTCAATAATGATTATTTAAACAATATTGACTATTTATTCTACTACAATTTTAATTATATATTGACTTTGAAATTAAATAAAATTTTATATTCATATTTTATATTCATAACCAAACACATGAAAATTCCTTTTTAAACCTTCATTACACAGGCGTGTTCAATATTACACATTCAAAACAATGGGCATGCACAGCGATGAGATGCACTAAAATGGGTGCTTGGAACATTCTGCGTTTGGAATGATGAATTTGGATCTTTTTGTTCCTCCACCTTTGTTATATTTATGAGAGGAGACATGATTCAGTCCTTACTTCAGCAATAGATGGTGGCAGAATTATGATAAGTAAATTGGAATTACTTGTTTCCGACACACTATCTTCATCTTTTAGCTCAAAATATATTTCATTTTAACCATTTTTTTCCATTTACTTTCACCGCGGGCGAGGAGATATTTGATATCGAATGGGTGGCTTTACGGGGTACGGTTTCTATTCGCCAAAGTCAGAAAGCGACTTCTATCCTTTTTTTCCCAAAGTTCAGGTAGGTTGGTTCGTTTTGACAAATTCGTGCATAACCCTTTGGCAAAATATGGAACCCACTTCTTTTTCCATTTTTTTAGATGGCACTGCCCTTGGCAAAACACTTGTGTGGCCGACACGTAGTGGATAGGAGCAGGACACCAGTTCAATATACTCTTTTTCATAAATCTCCATTTCTATTTCGTAATTCAAGGTTTTCAAATCAACGATCTTCCATTTCTTATTTGATAGCTTGGTACATCCGAACAGAATCCTAATTAGCAACTCCATATTTTTTAAGCGTAGAGAGCAGCAGTGTCCAAGACTCAGATTCATAAAAAGTGGTTTGGCTCCTTTGCTGATATTCATTGCTGTCATAAAATACCATATATCTCTCAGAAAGACACAATATTTCTGTTGAACCTGGGAGGCTAAAAACAGAAATAAAGATATATCTATATTTTATCTAGCCTAAAAAATTGACAATGATAGTTCACAACAATGAAGAAAAATTCCATGTGGAAATTGAATTTTAGATTTTCAAAAAATAGAAATTTAGACATGTATTGGTAATATTTTCCTAACATTGAAATAATATTTAAAATTTCCTAAGACCTTTGTGTGGTTAGTTTATATTGTAAGCTTCTTTCTTTTATGAATTGGTATCATATTTAGAGCACACACATCAGTCTGTTATATAAGTATTTTTTAAAATGTTATTTAGCCACACCTTCTTGTCTATTTGAAAACAAAATAATATTTTATGTGAAATATGTCTTTGCTTTTTATTTTTGTTGTGAAATACGTGGATTCAATTTATTCCACTTCTCCAGGCATTTTAAAATGCTGATTAAACCAGTATTTGTAGAACGACATTTTAAAATTATCCCGCATGTGTTTCTTTTGAACGAAAAATCTAAAATCATTTTTAAGGAGAAATAAGGATTAGTTCTACCTTAGGGAAGAAGTATGAAAGGATGAATTGTGAAGAGTAATGATAAACGAAAAAATAAAAGTTACCAGGGATGGGATTCAAACCCACAGTGTTCCGCTGTTCCGCCATGTCCACTAGGCTACCCTGGACATATTTTTCTGTTCGTAAATATTATATAAAGTAATTTATAATACAATATTCCATTACTCTTCACAATTCTTCCTTTCACACTTCTTCCCTAAGGTTAGAAATAATCGTTATTTCTCCTTAAAAATAAATTTCGATTTTTCGTCTAAAAGAAATACATGCGGGATAATTTTCAAATGTCGTTCTACAATCATAAGCCGCATTATATTGTATTATAAACCAATATTTCTATATTTCCCCAAAATATTATATATTTGAATTATTTAAAGCGTCCATTATGTAAATTTTTATGTGTATAAAAATCGGACATTAATTGTTGTCAGTCAGTCGAAAGAATGAGAGCGAAATAAAAGGTCATGTTCAAGTGCTAGTTGCTCTACTTCTAATATCGACACAACAAAAGTGGCGACGAGAATTCGGAATCTACAGAGCCAGTAAAAAAAGCTGAGGAAAACGGCGTCTACGTAAATGTAGCTAATACATCTCAGAAACTCTGGATAAAGAAAAGAATAGAAAAGGTCAGCATGACAAGTTCAACGCTAATTGTACCTTTTAGATGCAATACAAAAATACAAAAAAGCCTTTTTAGCAAATGATCTGAAGGAGGAGGGAAAAGTGCCTATTTTACCTCGTTACTAGATTCTGAAACTTTGAGGCTGGGAAACGACCTCTTCTTCCCGGGCCTAATGAAAGATCAATCCAATGATACTATCATTCAAAGAATCAAGCTGCATTTGGATCCAAAGAAAAAAGTGATACCACAGCGATGCCGATTTTTGAAGAGGATTCAACATGAAGGAGAATCAATTTTAGAATATCTTAGGGAATTGAACATTTAGCAACGCATTGTAATTTCGGCGATATGCTGGAAACCATGTTGCGAGACCGTTTCGGGGCTGGAATCAAGTCTGAAAGCCTTCAAAATAAGGTATTACAAGAGGACGACGATGTCACCCTGGATAAAGTTCTTGCAGTAGCGATCTCTTTCGAACTGGGGAAATATAAATACGAGGGAATTACAAGATAAATTGGTAACCAAGATATCCCCTGTGAATTAAAATAATAAAAAGGGTGAGTACAATAATAGTATGGCGCAGCATAGGCCCTTCAGGCAAAGAGGAGAAATAAGGTGTTATAGATGTGGTGAAAGACATTCACACGTGGCCTCTGTTTGCCCTCATAGAACAAAGACTTGTTTGAAATGTAAAAAAAAAAAAAACTGGGTCATTTAAGTAAGGTCTGCAAAGCTAGTAAAAAAATGTGGGGATGTGATTTTTACAAGACAACTTTATATATCCTGTACATGGCGAAACTAATGCCACAATAATTTAACAGTAGATGATTATTCTTTGTGCTTTACTATAGATACAGGTAGTCCAGTTACGATAATACATAAAAATATTTGAAAGAATTATTGGCAAAGTAAAAAATTATATCCAGCAAATTTAAGATTAAAATCATTTTGTGGTAAATCAATGGATATTATAGGTCAAAGAAATGTTTTTGTAAAAGAAACCAACCAATATTTAAGATTAATAGTTGTAAATGAAAAATTCCAGGTAATTTTATTAGGAAGAGAATGGCTTAAACAGTTAAAACTTGATTATTCTAGATTGTTTAGCATTAAAAATTTAAATAATGAATCAAATAGCAATAGTTTGATGGATAGGTATGCAAATTTGTTTAACAAAGATTTAGGATGTCTAAAGGATGTTAGAATAAATTTTAATTTAAAAAAGGATATGACTCCTGTGTTTTGTAAGGCCAAAAGTTTACCTTTCTCTCTAAAAAAACAAAGTAGAGAATGGAATTGATCGCTTGGTGAATTCTGGTATTTTAGAACCTGTAGTTCATGCAAATTGGGCCGCTCCAATAGTACCGGTATTAAAAAAAAGATTGTGTATTGTAAGGATATGTAGTGATTTTAGATGTACAGCTAATAAAGCAATAGAATCAGATAGGTATCCCCTTCCATCGATCGATGAGATCTTTTCAAAATTATCTAGAAGCACCGTATTTTCGACTCTAGACCTATCACAGGCTTACTCACAAGTAATGTTAGAGGAAGAAGCTAAAGCTGTTGTTAATATCAACACAACAAAGGGGTTGTTTTCTTATAAAATACTACCATATGGCGTAGCGGTAGCACCAAATAAATTTCAGAGGATTATGGAAGGTCTATTCGCTGATTTGCCAGGTGTAGCTTGCTACATATATGATAGTTTGGTTGCTGAAAAAGACTCTGAAGTTCATGAACAAAAGTTGGATCTAGTGTTTAGAAGATTGCTAGAAAAGTTTTAAAGTTAAACAAAGATAAATGTAAATTCAAAAAGGATTCGGTGGAATATTTAGGATTTAAAATTGATAAATATGGACAGCATCCCTTAGAAAATAAAATTAGAGCACTGATAGAGGCGCCTGAACCTAAAAATGTTTCGCAATTGAGATCTTCCTTAGGACTCTTAATGTATTATTCTAGATTCATAAAGAATAGTGCAAACATTTTAGGGCCATTCTATCAACTTTTGAAAATAATTGTAGATGGAATTTGACGAAAGAACATCAAATGTTATTTTTAAAATGTAAATCATTATTAACTGATAAGTCTGTTTTGGCACATTACGATGCAAACAAAGAATTAGTTCTGGCTTGTGACGCATCTAGCTATGAACTAGGCGTAATTCTGAGTTATAGAAATGATAGAAAGGAAGAATGTCCTATAGGCTTTGCTTCTAGAACATTAACTGAAACGGAAAAACGGTACTCTCAGCTAGAAAAGGAAGCGGTAAGCATAATTTATGGCGTTGAGAAATTCAGACAATATTTACTGGGACGAAAATTTGTATTAATCACAGACAACTGACCCTTAATGCATATATTTTCAACTCCGAAACCAATTCCCATATGTGCAGCATCCATAATTAAAAGATGGTCCTTAAAATTATCTGCATTTAATTATACTGTAGAATTTAGAAAACTAGTGATAATTCCAATGTTAACGCATTGTCACGTCTTCCTTTAGAATCGAGTGTCAAGGAGTCTCTTGATGAAGACCAGGTACTTCTTCTCAGGAAGTTGAATGAGGTACCGTTCTCTTTTAGGGAGGTGGCATATGAGACGTCCCGACATAAAACACTATCTATAGTATTAAGGAATGTTAGAGAAGGCAACTGGAAATTCACAAGAGTACCGAGAGAAAATCCACTAGCTCCTTATTTTAAGATTAAAGAGGAATTAAGTTTAGAGTTTGGTTGTCTTCAATGACGAGAAAGAGTGATAATTTCCCAAAAATTAAGATCTTTAATTTTGAATGACTTGCATGAAATGCACATGGGGATTGTTAAAATGAAGATGATTGCCAGACGGTATTTTTGGTGGCCAGGCATAGACAGTAACATCGAGGAATTGGCTAGAGAATGTATAATATGCCAAGAATCGGCAAGCATGCCCCCGGCTACCATCTCGGAATGGACTTGGCCCGAAAAACCGTGGCATCGACTTCATCTTGATCTAGCGGGTCCGTTCATGGAAGATATGTTTTTGGTTCTCGTGGACGCATACTCAAAGTGGATTGAAATTTTTATCCTCAAAGATATTACCAGCAAAACATTTATAAGACACCTTAGAGAAATTTTCGTCAGATTTGGATCGCCCGAATTTTTGGTTACAGATAACGGAAGACAGTTTGTCTCCGGTGAATTTGAGCATTTTACCAAAGTGAATGGTATACGGCACACTAAGACCAGTCCGTATAATCCTAGCACAAATGGTTTAGTTGAGAGATATGTAAGAGAGTTTAAAAACGCTTTTAGAAAGAATAATAGGAAGGATTATTTAGAGACGAATCTACGAAGATTGTTATTTGCTCACAGAGCATTCCCTCAAACTGTAACATAGGAATCCCCCGCGTAACTTCTAATGAAGATAAGTTTAAGATCAAGATTCTCGAATTTAATACCAAAGATGGGTAATCCACGAAAGGTATTTCATGAGGCCGTAAGAAGGCAGGAGCAGGTTGCGAGGTTTATTTCCGCAACTATGCAACTGGACCTAAATGGAAAAAAGGTACCATTTTGAAATTATTTATCTGCCGTCACTAGCTTATAGATTGCGAGAGCCTCGTGTATAAGAGGCATATCAATCAATTGCGACCTGTGAAAAATAAACAAGTGGAGACTAGAAATGTCATACTTCCTCGAACATCAGGAGAGAAGCCTGTAGGTGGAAGTGAGAAAGAAAGTGAAGGGTTACATCCAGAAACGAAGAGAAGCCTGTTGCTGTGCACGTTCCCTCTTGCACTCCTAGACCAGAGTCTGCTGCTGTGCACGTGCCCTCTTGCACTCCTAGACCAGAGACTGCTGCTGTACACGTGCCCTCTTGCACTTCTAGACCAGAGACTACTGCTGTGCAAGTGCCAGTCCGCAGTCCTAGACCTCAGAGAGCCAGGAAACCCCCAGACCGACTGGAGTATTATTAAGGGGGAAGATGTGTTGTGTATGTAAATAGATTTGCATTCTTTAAGGCGTCCATTATGTGAATTTTCATGTGTATATGAATCGGACATTAATTGTTGTCAGTCAGTCGAAAGAATGAGAGCGAAATAAAAGGTCATGCTCAAGTGTTAGTTGCTGTACTTCTGATATCGACACAACAATTTACATATTATTATTTTATATATTTATATAGCGTTGACAGAAGCAATGTCCAAGGTACAGAGTTATAACAGAGTTTTTGGCTTCTTTTTTGATATCCATTGCTGTCATAAAATACCATATATCTCCAGCATCTCTCGAAATGACAATATTTCTTTTGAAACTGTGAGGTTAAAAACAGAAAATGAGATTTACCTATATTTTATCTAGCTCAAAAATGTAAAATAATAATTCACAACAATGAAGAAAGATTAAATAAGGAAGTTAAATTTTATATTTACGTGAAAGGACATTCAGACATGTTTTGTTAAGATTTTCGTAACATTGATATTATGTTTAAATTATCCTAC